AATAAAAGAGGGCTGGCAATGAATTAAATACATTCTAAAGCGTACATGTTCCTGCCTAAAAACTTCACAATCCTGTTGCTGCTGACGTGGTGGAACAACATACCTCAGTGAGCAACCCTTTAGACCAGTGCTTGCCAACTTAGGCAAATCACCCGCTAGCAGGCTATTTGATAAGTTTCCGCGGGGCAGTGGGGATCACCTGGGTAGTGACAGGTATCATCCTCCCCTTCAAAAAACGTGTAGATGGGCCACACAAAATTTTTGCCTCTTTTAAAAGAAGGAAAAATGTGCAGTGGCAATAAAAAAAGGTCGACAAGCACTGAATTGGACTTCACCTTTGCTCATCTCATGACAGCGATGTCTTGGCCTAGTCCACATAATAATAATAACCACATTTCTACAGGAGCAAGTAGCGAAGATAACAGGGGAAACTGAAATAAAATCAAGAGAGGAGACCGCACCACAGGGAATCAATCAATATATACTTATTGCTCATGTTACACATTCTATACACATTTTTGTTCATAATTCATAAATAGCCAGCTCAGAATCTGGAAACAGTAAAAGTACTGTCTGTGTTCTAGAGGGTCTTGTATTCTTCAAGGTCCTTCAATATAACTAATTAATATGGCGAGCTGAATAATATAATGTAGGCTTGCACTAGAAACACATCCCAACTAGTCTAATGACATTATATTACAAGCTAGGGCAAACACCGAGACTTTTTTCTTTCTAAATTGATAGTCTCCCCCTGATGCCATTCAATATCTAAATCTCTCAACAATAAGTAGCCCTTGGTAGGATTTCAAAGTTGGACATCATCAGAGGCAAGACTAAACTGTACAGTGTCTACACCCCACTAAATACAAATGCAGTCTCCTAGCCCATTCCAGAGCAAAAGACAAATTAACTAATTTGTAATAAAAGCTTTACTCCTTTATCAAAACAATTTAGATCCCTTGGGAGGAAAGCTGCGACGACCCTGCAGCCACGTCAGGACATGTGGGAAGTGTTAAATATATTCCAGCACAAACTGAGACACTTTATATATATATAATATGTGTCACGACGCGCTGGAATCAGGCGCTCGTCAATTTTGAGAACGTAGAGTTATTGGTATCATCTTAAAGCTTGTTCATTTATCTTGCTTTTGATGAATTTGTGATTGAAGAGGTAAATTCACTTAGTTTCAGCCATAAAAATAGTGAGAAAATGGCCGCCAAAGTCAGGTAACTTCAATAGCTAAAGAGTCCTTGAAAACTAAAAAATTACATATTTTGAGCTGTTAATCAACGTTTTTCAATTTACCGGTAATTCACACGGAAATATTTTTAATTGGGCATAAAAGGATTGAACAATAAAACAAAAATTTGATTAAAATTGCGAAACTGGTGGGAAAATGCCTGTTTCTCCAATTTTGTTATTTTGACGAGCGCCTGATTTCACCACGATGCCTCACATATCTTCCCCCATATGAAACTAAAACTCCAGCAATTTGCATGTAAGCCAAAGAGCTGTACCATCATTATACTCCAAGTGCCCCATCTCCCATCCCAAAACACAAGACGCCCGACTAAATCTGTGCCAATCAGAATTTTAAAAAAGGTAAGTCTAATAGGGGGAAACAGTGTACTGACATCACAAATACTGCATGTAGGGCTCTGAAAGGTGAAATGTTGGATGAGGTTGGACGGAATAACACAGGATACCCTCCTGTACATGGGTGATCCACAAATCTATGCACTCATTCAGACTAATGCTGCTATATAAAAATTTCTTTCACCCCGAGCATCAGACTCTCGCAAATTTCTGAAACCGAGATCCAACAGTGTGTCATGAAAAGACATATTATGCAAAAAAAAAATTGTGCAAGTTTGCAAAAACAAGTGACTCAAGAAAAGCCTTTTTCAAATTTCAAAATGACAAAAGAAAAAAAAAAGAGATTCACAAAATAAAATATTCAAAACCTACCCAATAGTATATTCCATGTGGAAGGCCCGAACATAATTATATAATACATTTTTAACAATAGCTTTGTATTCACAAAGAAACCAATGTGGAATCCAAATCAAAACTACAGGGCATGGTGAAACCATTTCAGACACTCAAAACTGTGGAAATATATCAGCACAGTGGCTCCCCATTCCACAGTAGTAAATCAGCTCGAGTCCTAACTAACAGATTGGTGCTGTTAATGATCTAGAACTAACATTTATAAACAACACCATAAAGGCAATTCAGTGATCTAGAATTAGCAAGAGAAAAAAGCCAAGAAGGCAAAGAAACAGCACAACAAAGGGCTAAGGAAGACCCAGCATTCAGGACACGTGTCTAAAACACCAGTAGACTATATGGACGTACATACTCGACCAACAAGGGTAATGCCTTGCTCTCCCCGTTTTGCTAGTAGTAGTCTAAATTCTACCATGACATCACTCCACATCAAAATATATTAAGATTTTTCCTTTCCAGGACAGACGTTGAACAATATTAAATATAACCTGAGACGGCCGTTAGCATTGGATTTCCAACAACAGAATGTACAAGGGTATTATTAAAAAAACAAACTATTTGGCTTATATATATATATATATTTATATAGAAGGAGAAAAAATATGTACAAGCTCAACAAAAGTATCACAGTTGGAACTGGAGGTGCTAACATTACTGGCAAAAATTTGGCATAGGTGGCAGTCGCACATGTAGTAAGAGAATTGACACACAGGAGATTATTGCAAAAACCACTGGCTTTAAAACCTCTCGACATCTCAGTCCTGGTTGGGCAGACAATGTAACTTGGTCAAGCTCAGAAAAATTCAAACTTTCATATACTGACATCGTTAAAATCAAAATCTTACAGAGAATCTCTGAAAAACAAAGAAATCCCCACCAAAATTTTAATGCCCGTAGACATCACGGTAAGGCTTTCTACAAATCACATTGAATGCACACACTACAAATAAATATTCAAAAAGAGGCAAAAAGTTCACCGTAACTACATGTACGCCTCCATCCACCAAACCGGCCTGAGTCGAAACATTCCATCTGCACCACACTGCTGTCACAGTTGTAGATGGAACCTTTCAACTATAGACCAGCAGGCATTTGAATAGTGTTGAAGGTATACAAATCAGGGTGAAGACATTGCATAGTTCCAGTGTACAGCACAGGAGATGCCGGGCACAGAGTGAAAAGGTGAAACTTACGATACCACAAACTCACTGACCCTGATAAAGTTTAGCCAGTCGCCGATTGTAGCTTGATCATTTCGGAATAATTTTTTAAAAAATGTATTACAAAGGAGCCCCTAAAGGCAAAGGACTGCGAGTTTACACATTACCAAATATCAACATCCTTTCAAGGAGCCAAACTTTATGTGTTTGTATTTTGTATATCTACTCTTTTGTGATTAAAAAAAGGGACCCCATAATATCCAGGAAAGATCAGATTACATTGTGTACTCAGTTTCAACATCATGAGACCATGGCAAAAAACAGTAAAATATCTCCCCGTCAACGCATAAATCAGTTGCTTGCAATTATCTTTGATAAAAAATATGGTTAACTATTAATAAGTACACCAAGATTGATGCTGGCGTAATAGTCGTAGCAGCACTTCAAAAAATACCAGGGTTCAGTGACTCTCTGTATCGCAGACGGAAATCCTTTCCCTCTGACTCAGCACTTGCTAACCAAGTAACAAAGGCTATTAATCAACGCACAAAGATTGCTGCCTAAAATCAAAAGTGAACAAAATAGAATAACATAACAATATACAGGAGCACAAGCGCAATCCACACGCATTTCAAGATAGGAAGTTTGTACAAAGTGACCCTCTGTCCACTTGCCATCTGTTGCAAACAAACATTGCAGAATACTGTACACGGATTTGTGAATTTCAGCTACTAAAAGACACACCAAACAATGTATGGCAGAGTGAGATAATCAGTCGCAAGAAGCAGTGTAATTTTTTATGAAGGGTGAGAAAACAACTTTCCAGTAGAAAAACAGACTACGACTGTGTAATAGATTAAATAGTTAAGTTCTAGTAAAAGTTTTTCGGCACTTGCAACACTAACAGGTCATAGAAGTGCTGAGGATTAGGGGTGTTATTAGAGAGTAACATTCAAAGAAAGAATTAGAAGAGATAAGGAAGACAGATGTTTGATCGGAAAGAAGGAGCAAACCATCCACACAAATGACTGACCAGAAGTAAACTATGCTATTAGTAGGATTTGCAGAAGTGCCACAGTTATTTCCAGGTTTGAATCTCAAAATAATATAAGAATGGTTCTATAGGGACAATGGGTAAAAAAATGGAACAAAAGATTCTCACCTCATCTCAACCCAAATCAAAATTAATCCGATTGTGAAAGAAACAATGGAATGAAATCAAAATTGATAGCCCTGAACTTGTAAACCATAAAAACAATTTTTGATTGAATTCAGAAAAATATATACAAGCCACTGATTTCCTCACTCTGACACACATAAGCTGCAAAGGTAAGTAAGTGCACAACAGTCCCCAAACTTCATAAATCAAAGGCTCAGTTCAAGAAATCCCCATTAAACATTAAAATAAAAAAAGAATTTTTCAAATCAACCTCACCGGTCTAATACTAAACCTGTGACCTCTCCCTCATATGTCTCCCTTGATTGATCTGACTGTAAATAACGTAGACAGCATACAATCTTTACACTTTCCTTCAGCAGCAGAGGCACACATTTCTTTGAGGCTAACAGGTTTCTTGGAATGATCCGTTGAAACATAATCTCTGCTAGATATTCTAACATCTCGTGTCAGCTGCTATAACAAACGCAGCTCAAGGCAATGAGCTCCTTTTTCAGATCTGTATAAAGTTCTAGACAATACGTTATTAGAAACAAAATGTCCACTTTGGCAATCAAACTTGTGTAACACACTGTGTGCTGTAAAAAGCAACAGAGAGAAACTGACAAACCAAGTGTTTCAGCCACAATGAACTGGGAACATTTTTTTTATAAAGTAAAAAGATCACCAATTTCATCTTGCAGAAAGCAGTGCAGATGCTACTTGGTAATGGGACTCTTTACGGCAAAAGATCTGAAAGCAAAATACTGATATTTATAATACTATGACCCAAAATGACCGAATTTTCGCTCCTGGAACATCCATGTGACATGAAAGAAGAAAACAAAAAACCTGACAGAACTTTACATACATTTAACACAGACGTTACATAATACCTCTAGCAATGTCAACTTACAAAACATTTGATGCAGAGAGTGACATTGACAAAACCCCCCAAAAAAACTGGAAAACTGGCATGCGGAGCAGTTATCAAAACAGCTGTCTGATCTGAGAGAGACACAAAACAATGCAAACAGAAATAGCATATGACACAGCAAACACGGCTGGCGTACACAACACAGCCAACACATGTAACACAACTAATAGGATTGACATACACAACACAACAAACTGGAACAAGACACGTAACAAAGCTATTAGGAGTGACGACGTGTAACACAGCAAACAGGAGAGACATGCGACACACAGCAAACAGAGGTGACATACGCTACACAGCTAACAAAAGTTACAAGATACAAAACAGTGACATACATAACAGAGCTATCAGGAATGACATTTGTCACATGGAGCACAGCTAAGAGTTTTGATAATTTGATACACATAACACAACTGACTGTTATTCTCATTATTATTGCTGTTGAGATACAGTAGTTTATGGCAAGCCAGCAGGACTACAGCGGCCACATTTTTCCCAGGATTACGACAACAGAAAACGCTAAAGAAACACGTGCAAGGAGGAAGCAACCAAACCAGAGTGGCCCATCACCCACCAACCCCCTGCACAACATCGCTGCTGACTAAAGCGTTGTTGCGTCCACGGTCACTGAGTGGCACAGTTGATGTTGTCCCCCATGTCCTCGGCGTACTTGTTGCAGATGTGAGCACGCAGTTTGTCCACCTCGCGCCTCAGCTCCCCGAGACGAGACAGCCACTGGGTCATCGTCTCATTGGCGTCTCTCCCGCCAGCACCCGCAGCGCCATCATCATCAGCTTCCGTTTCTACAAATAGAAAAAAAATACGAAAACAAGAACATTTTAATTCATTTGTGGCTATGATGAATGACAATAATAACATATAATAATAAACACCGTTTGTTTGGTAAGACAGCAAGGTCTTTAAAATATTTCAACTCATTCGTGGCTATGGTTATTAATGATATATTATGTGAAGCGTGCAGACAAAATGAGTAACTTCTGGGATTCAAGCCTTAAGGAAATAGATACATCACACATATAGAAGTTTATACACTTTATACGTATGAAATATTCTAAAAAAACAGGTTATAGTTAAAGAATATGGTATCAATAAAAATAATCTAAAATTTGACCCTAATGTTGATTTTTGGCCAATATCTCCATTCGTGGATTGCGAGAAGTAACTCATTTTGTCAGAACGCCTCACATGTAATAAACATTATTTGTTTAGTGCATATCCCCGCTCCACAGCAAGGTGTTTGCCCTTTACACAATACTGTCACATTGTGAGGCACTCAGTGTACATACAACCACCCCATACGTCAGAAGAATTAATAGTAGTGGCACAAGTTCAGCAATAGCTTATTTATTGACAATTCTTGGAAAGTTTCAATTGAAAATTCAGCATATGAAGTAGAGCTGGGTCTTTGCTGATTCTCAAATTTACTTTACACACAAGAGTTCTCAGCCCTATTCGAGTACATTTTCGAATTATGTCTGTTCACACAGCACTTCCTAGCTAGTCAAAAAGGCTTTCGAAAAAAGGACACAAGGGAAACTCGGGAATACCCTACCTCATATCTGGGCTTCTTGGTCAAAACTAACTTTACCGATCGTACACTCCCGATCTCGCATAGCACATCACAAATTACAACCAGTTGATAATAAAACCATAGATCAAAGAAAAAAAGTCAGCCTATAGGGGAAATATACCATAAAAAAAAAATACTGAGCCAAATTTTAAAATAAAATCTTCGATATATAAAACAAACGGAAAAACAAAAAATAGCTATTTAAAGAGATAAAAGAAAAAAGGAATTACAAAATGTAATTCAGACTTAATAACACAGAAGTCACGCCAATACAAATTCTAAATACAAGGTGCCTGTGTGTGTGTGTGTGTGTGTGTGTGTGTGAGTTTATGTGTGCGAGTATGTGCTTATGTGAGCAAGAACTTACTGTGCACCCCTAACAGCACGGAGATATCTGGGTCTTGACCCTGCGCCCTCTGAGAGCACACCTGGACCAGCGCCTGCAGCTCAGAGAAGCACAGGCTGAGCTGAAGCATGAAGCGCCTCTGTAAGGCCACGGTGCTGTCTGTGCTGCTGGCCTCCATGTGCCTCACCTGCTCCCGCACCAACAGGCTCTGCTCAAGAAGTTCCTGGTTTCGAACACCCAACTGAAAAGAAAAAGAACCGATCATCACAACTGAACGTTCCTCAGCACCAAAAGAGTGGGGAGAAGAGGGACCGAGAACCTCTCCCCTCAACCCTTTTCCTATCAAATAAATTCATCAGGAGTGGTGTTTCCCCTGACAATTAAATTTTGGGACTTCCAAGCTAAAAACGTGTATGGTGGGGGCATACCACTGAAAAGTAGCACTATAAATTATCTGGGGATGATTTGTGAGCATGAGTAATCCCTTTGTTCATTACGAAATGAGATAAGCTGAGTAAAACGGTGACAGTTAGTGAGTACACACAACCACCTCCTCCTCCCTTATTCCTTTTTTCTCATTGACTCTCTCTCCCCTTCCTCTTTATCACTCTCCCGTTCTCTCCAAACAAACAAAATCGAAGAAATCAGAAGACATGAAAAGCCCATACCCCCACCCCGCCAACAAAAGTTCTACATACCTCTTTAATTGACTTCTTCATATTCTCCGCCTGCTCTTCCTTTGAGGCAATCTCAGCGCGGAGGGAAACAACTGCCTCTTCCTCCTGCACCACTCTCTCTTCCGCAGCTCGCAGCTCAGCTTGATACTTTATCTCCACCTGCCGCAACCTCTGGTGGGTGGTTTCCAGCAACTGGACAGCCAAGGTATATACAAATAGTGATCACATAACTATTTCAGTCGCAGAAGAGTTAAACATGAAGTTCCTACAACATCCTCTTTCTCTTTCACAAACACAGGGTCCCCACCAAATCCTTGAAAATTTTTTCAAGACCCCAATACGACGGAAAAATCAGGCCGTTGCGCGTCAAGAATGATCCCCAAAAAAGCCCATCTATCAAAGATAAAAAGTCAAAATGTCTATAAATGAATGCAAATGTACATTTTGTAGTATAGTCTTCAAACAATAGATGACTATAATACTGGGTGACTGCCAAACCAGCTTCTCAATTTTCCAAGGGAGGGGCCTCATCCATTTTCCAGGAACATGTTACATAACAATGAAAGCGTGTGCTCCATTTATATCTAATATAATACATGTATATGTTTGTGAATACACACACACACACACACACATGTAGGTACATTATATCCAGTTAACAACATGTCAGTGTGGCACTGGGATCTTGAGAGACTTTGGTATTTCAGTCTGTTCTTACTTATTTATATTTTCCCATCATCATATTAGCCTACATAAACTATAGGCCCTATATTTAAAAAATGAATCCTGTTTTGAGCCTGAAAAAAGACCTAGAACTAGAAAATCGACTGTCAATAACCAGTCTGGGTGTCACGATTCATATAATAAACGTGAAGACGAAAACCATTGCTGCAACTCAAAGTAGAGTAATAACTAGAATGGCTCAAGTACACCTATTCAGTGTGAGAGTTGTAAGAACTGGGGGGGGGGGGGGCGGCGCAAGATGCAGTGACACTGAAAATCTGCCAGTCTTGAACAGAAAGCTAATAAAATATAGATATAAAATTACAATCACCCCATCCAATGAAACGCGAACACTTTAGTTCAATAACAAGGCATGACGGATCCTGATTCCACACAAGGCCTGCACCAACGCGCGCTTTGCAAAGAGCTCTAAAATAGTAATCAAAATGCTAAAAAATTTGCTTCCAAGTTCAGTTTTTGTCCTCTAGCGTTGCCTTCAGCTCCCCCCCCCTCCCATCCCCTTCCACGAGTGTATCTTATAAAGGAGTCCTATACTTCACAGCGCTCAGACCGCCGGTACTCACAGGTTCATTGACCGGTCACGAGGGCGAACCTGTCAAGACGCTTGTATAACTTCTTTTTCTTTTTTTTTTTTTCCACAAGCGACAGCAGAGGGCAATTTTTAATATTGATTTATTTTCAAGGCGACACAGCGTTCATAATGCACAACTTGCATGTTACAAATGTTGCGTTATCTATCAGACTATTACCGGAAAATTTCTGGGCGGTAACGAAAGCAGATCTTGATTCTTCCCGATCGAGCCTCGATGTCACACACACACTTCCGTCACAGCGGTTCAATTACGTTTCCTCTTTAGGAATCATCAACCATACAGTCTAGATAGCTGCACATTACACAGGCCCTATACTTTCCCGACTTACCGACCCATCACAAAATTCCCGACTTTTTCCCGACCTATCTCAAAATTCCCGACTTTTTCCCGATTTCCTGACCCTGTGGGGACCCTGCAAACAGCTGCGACATTTCATTGTAAAGCTTCGGATATTACTACGCCTTGACATAAAACATTTTGTTATAAATTTCACCTTTTTCATTCACTTAGAGAAGTCACATGTGTCACAGCACAGTAGAATCAGGCGCTCGTCAATATTTGGTATCAGAGGAAAAATTAGCAAGAAGACGTCCGCCAAGGTTTGGTGACTGCCAAAGCTTAGGCTTAAGTGTCCCTGAAAACTACAAATTTAAATTTTTTGTACCTTTGATTAACATTGATGAGGTAAATCCAACCAGAAATGTGTTTTAAATGGCCTTTAAAAGCGTTGAGCCTAAAACTGATTAAATCAATAAAAATTAATTAATAGCTGGAAAAATGTCGTATTTTTCAATTTCATTATTTTGACGAGCGCTTGATTTTGCCACGATGCCTCACATGTCAAAAATGAAAAAAAAAAAGTAGGTCGTATGTCTAAAAGCTTGATCCCATGATACTAATGGAGAAAGTCACTATAATGCATTGTGAACAGTATTTGTGATACTTAAAATTTTGAAAATTTTAACAAAAAAACATTAAATAATAACACTTCCATGAAGCCCATTCCTTACTTCCAAGGCATGATAAATTTGTAACTCTTCTACACAGCAAAATATTCATGTTCTAATGGTCGCAGGTAAGACATTTCAAGGAAGAGAAAGCAATTTTTCTATCTTCAAAGGACACTTCTATATTTGTTCTTCTCATACCTTTGAACTGAATTTTCAGGTAGAACCTTTCGACAAAACGTAACTGACGGTGTCCCTCGACTAATTAATTTGCGGTGAAACTTCTTCTTCAAGCCCGTCTCCCTTCATCCCTGCCCAACTCCACTCCCACCCCTGATTACCTTCTTTGCTTTCTCCAAATCAATAGCCAGCCTCTCCTTGTCAGCCTTGGCAGCCTTGAGCTCTCGCTGCGTGTTGTAGAACTCAGAGCCTCCAGAGTCACGCAGTCTCTCCAGCTCGTCTTGCGTCTCGTTCAGCTGGAGAAAAAGTCACAACAGTTTTCGGGTGAAAAATTTAAGTACAATAGTCCGTGAGGAAATGATTAGCTTCTTTACCACAGCATGCAGAAGACGAGAGTAAGATCACCAAGTGAAAAAGTTATCTTATTGGGCGTCTGCTTCTACCTGCTAGTGTCTAATATTCAGCTTGGCCCGCATTGTCACTTACAGGGTTAGAGAGCCAGCCTCCTATTTGATCTCATTTATGTCGAAGGAGGAAGAAAACAGCAATCATGCGTAAGAAAAGCAAGTTGACACCATGATGGACACTGCTTTTTGAGTAAGTTGATTGAGATATTGCTTCAGTTTTAGTGAGAGTTTAACTACATTTACAACATTATTGGGTCATGTAAGTGCAGAAGATTGGAGGTTTTAAAAAGACAATAGCATACAAAGAAGAGAAGGAGGCGAGGTAAGGACGACAGATGTTTGATAAGAAAGATGGAGCAAATGACACCAGAGCACTTGCCAACAATCCACTGAGACATTGTACTTAAGTGAAATTTAATAGCAACAATAAAGTGCATTTATGTGTATTTTAACAGGAACAAAAGCCTTTTGTAAACCTTTCTCAAAACGTTAAAACAAACCTTTGTCTCAAGGTCCTTTTCATTGTCCTCCAGTTCCCGGATCCTAAAATCTCGTGCTGTCACGACTTTCCTCAGCTGCGCCAGTTTTTTCTCTTGTCCTTCCAGCCTGCTCTTCTGCCCAAAGTTATCTTCTCTCAAAGACATCATCTGAATACATAGGGATGAAAAGCCAGAAAAAGAATACCATAAGCAAAAATATTTGCCACGTCGTTTTTTGATGAAAGCTTAACCATACACATTTCAAAACTATTTTCAAATACTAGTCATTTTGTTGACTTGTGGTTAACGGCAAACTAGTTTGACACTAGAAATATTTTAATGGAAAAAGAAAAGGGTTATCATAACATGAAAAAATAAAAGGAGAAGACAATAACAGAGCATCCACCAACCACACCAGTTCAACGTATAACTAGCTACTCTGCTCTTGGCTAAAACTTTTGAGTTTACCTCTGGCACCTTTTGCTGTCTCAATAGGAAGTGAAATAACCAGGTCAGCAGCAGAACTATTACATGCCAATACATTAAGGCATGAATTCAAAACATGGGAGAACCTAGCTTTGAGTCAAAGTCAAGAGAAGCAAATTATCACTGCACCACTACACATAAAACAATCATTTAGTGCTTTAAAAAAAATTTAAAAAACAAGACAGACTGATGTAACTAAGGTAGGATTGAAAATAAAGGCTTAGAAAAACAACTTTTAATTGAAATCAAGAATAAGTCAATACTCCCAATAAATTACACCCTGTCTTCTCTATCTACTGGAAAAGTCGATTTAAAAAATGACTTTATTCCCATCGGCACACAAACATATTTTTCTCCTTTTAGCATAAGTGATAATTTTATTATACACAAAAAAAGTAACATCAGGACTGATTTCATCTGGGTCACCCAGTAGGCCCCACCTTCTATGGGACCGCCAACATTAGGGCCCCATAAGCTTGCAAAGACTACGAGTGTACAAAGTACCAGGGAATCTAACTTAACTCTTTTCCTACCAGGCCAAAATCCACCACTGGCCCAGGGCTTTTCCCTGACCTATTTTTACGCCCCTACCCCACCAAAGGAAAATGTCAAAACATCCAACTAAACACGCTCAAACCATATCATACGGCCCATCAAACTGAAGGTTAAAAAATAATCTATCAGATGGTGATACAATATTGAAGATTTATTCCAATTATATTAGTTGGGGGTTTCCAAAAGTGATTATGCAATATCGAAGGTGCCATATGAAATCAACAATTTTCGAGCTTTGAAAGGTCATATCTAAAAAAGTACAACAACATCATCATTCAAACTTCCCAGGTCCGTTGACCCAAGTAATGCAAAGAAATGCTGAAAGTTATGCATGTGTACCTAATATAGAAGTGAAAATATGAGACATATTCTGAAGTCAGGAGAGCACTTTTCTTCTCCTTTTTACATTTTGAAGGGGACAAAAAAAGTGCTGAAATGACTGAAAATCGTCTGTCAGTGCTATATATTTAACAGGAAGTCTATTCTATTATTTTGAAAACTTGGATCGGCCGAGAGTTTCTTTACTGGGTTGGAATAGATAGCGAGCCACTCGAGCCGTATTTTGCGGCTCTCGGTCCAGCGAGGCCAGGTCCACGAGCCGCAAAATGCGGCTCGTGGTAGGGAAAGTGTTAACTGGAGCAGTTTTTCTATCCCCCCCCTCCTCACCTGCTGTGCTTGGACTCTGCTCTCCTCCACTGTAGGCAGCTCATCCAGGTAGAGCTGTAAACTGTCAAGCTTCTTCTTCATGTCCTGGTGGTTGCTGCGAGACTCGTCAAACTTGGCACGCCAAGCCTCAGCCTCACGGGTTTTGTCCTCCAACTGGAAAGTTCGGCGAAAAGTTGAATTTGCATTCAGATGAAACAAACACAATTTTTAGGGAGAGTAAAGGAGAACAGTTTTATCACATAAACAAATAAAAACAGAGGAGAAAGAAGAAACCAGAACAGTTAGCTGCAGAAGGAAGTAGAAACCAGAACTATAGGTACAAAACAAAAACCAACTTGTAGCTAGCCCCACAGACAAGTACTTCAAATATCAGACTTTTGCCATTACACTTCAGCTTATTGTCCTTCATGATAAGACAGTAAATTTATTCGCAGCTGCGGAGAAGCAAATTTTTTAATTTTTTTAAAAAATAGTAGAGGGTTTTACGGCGCTCGCAACTGCATAAGGTCATATGAGCGCTAAGGGAGAAGTCTTTACAGGGAATTAGACTTGGACTGCTCCCCTCTCTAGTTTCAACAGTACAAGGTTTGCTTCGACTATCAAGGCACCCCGGAAATAGCAGGTCACAAGAGAGTGACAAACATACAAAAGAAGTAGAGGAAATGACAATAGTAAGTAAGGATCAGGAAAGAAAAAGCAGCAGTTCCCTGTTGTAGATCAGGCACAGTTATGAGTGTGACATGAGTCAGCCCATTTACAATTCTATTATGCTTGAATGAGAAATGTCCCCCCTTTGGGAATGGCCTAAAGACACTATAGTCAGTGGCACTGCGACGGGGGGTGAAAATTATTTTCTACAAAACAAAAATGATAACTGGACAGACATCAAGCTCTGCAGTGTTTATCAGTTTTGCACATTCTGGAGAGAAAGACTCCTCTTTACACGAGGCATTGATTCAACGCTGGAGTGCTTCACATAACTGTTAAAGCAGAGAAGAAAAGAAATAACAGAAAGAAGGTGGAGATAAAACGACAGTAAATTGGTGACCATCTAACATCAGAAGCCCAACTGGCTATGACAAAAAATTCTAAACTTTTCAGAACCCATGGGAACGTGAGCAGGGACTCAAAATTTACAGATCATATGTGAGTCAGCGTGGTGAAATCAGGTGCTCGTCAATATAACGAAATCGGAGAAACAGCCATTTTTCGCCAGTTTGAAATTTTTTATCAAATTTTTATTTTTTCGACTTATCCTCTTGGATGAAAACACATCCATATAAAAACACATTCCCATGTGAATTTTACTGAAAACAATAATCTAAAGGCACAAAATGTGTCATTTTTCAGTTCTCAAAGATTCTTTAGCTATCAGAGTTACCAAACGTTGGCGGCCATTTTCTCGCTAACTTCAGCACTGAAAAACGGCGACCTCACCTCTTTCACTCGCAAATATCTTGAGTTCTATTCAATATAAATTGATACTTATTTCAATGGAAGCTAAGCAAGTAAATCAGCTTTCAGATAATACCAATAACTCCATATGCCAAAAAATTGATGAGCGCCTGATTCTACCGCGTCGTGACACATATTGTCTTAGGATTCTTGTATCAAGATTTTTTAAATATTAAGTGCCACCCCCATCAACAGAATGTTTATCGCACCGGAGCAAAATGTTCAGTCAATTATTCTACCATAAGTCCTTGAAACTTACTTGAGCACGCAGGTCTGAGGATCCTAGATCTTTGTTCCACAACACATCTTTCAGCTGTTGAACTTCGTGCTCCGCTGACCTGGAGAAGATAAATATAACACAACAATACATCAATATATGTCTTTGTTAGAGTAAAAATCTTTAGCTTCCTTAATTTAAAAAAACAATAAAAGTAGTAATAATAATAATACAAATGTATACAGCACCTTATCCCAAGAAAGTTTTAAGTGATGTACAATGCATAATCATCACTCAAATCAAAAATAATAATACAAATTTTTATAGCACCTAATCTCAAGAAAGTTTTAAGCCCTGGATAATGCAGAATCATCACTCAAATCAAGTAATGAATCAAAGGACAAGAACTGCATACTGTGAGAGACTTTGAATTTATAATATTCATCTCTTTTGAGGGAGAACTTCAAATATTTGGGGCACAGGAAGAAAAAGCTCTTCTTCAGACTTTACTATGGACACTCTCATGAGACACTCATCTGCAGGTCTTATATGTCTTCAAGGTACATATGAGCACACAAATGTCCAAATACATTGCAGCTACATCACACATACACATACTGGCTTCTGTGGTTTAAGTGTAATGCAGGCAAAACACTTGGTTTGGATTTCTAGTGGAGAAATTATTCTGTAAAATAACTGTCTTTCTGTTTGAATGTAGAATTCACACACACACACACACACACACACGTGCGCGCACGCACGCACACACACATTCATATAAAGTATGCCCTCACAGACACAGAGTTGAAAGTAGGTCAGCTCCTACATTAGGAAATATAGTGTCAACAGGGGCATCAAACATTTACAATCCAACGAAAGCACTAACCCGAGTTTGAGCTCCAAGTCATCAATTTCTGAGTTCTTCTTGGCTCGCTCCTCATTGAGCTGCTCCTTTAGGTTGGCATTTTTGTGCTGCATTTCCTAGAAACATAAAAGATTGTTATGTCGTTACCTATCCAGAAAAACACAAAAAATAAATTAAAATGTACACTAAGGTCAAAGTAAACGCCTCAGTCCTCTTTCTCCTTACATTATATTTCAGCCTTTATGAAATAACCATTAGCTGTTTTCTCACCTCCTTTATTTCAGCAGCAGTTTAAATTAACACTTTTATAATCAGTCGTTCGATTTCCCTCCAAAGTGTACCCCTTTCCACTCTGAATGTCCATTTCTCATTGGCCTTCATTACCATTGCCATCGGGAAAGGAACTGGGAGGAGGCCGGGGGTGTAGGGATGAGAGAAGCACACTGGTCTTAAATGAAACTCAAATCATAGTTCGATACCTCCCAAGTTTTGGGACTATTAGAAAAGAATGAACAAGTAGTAACACCCCTACTCATTCATGAAAAGCCCTACTTTAACTGTATAACCTTAAACTCTTTACAACTCTATGCTCCTTACAGCGTATCTCAGTTACAAATCTTGCCACACCTTTCCATTGCATACCTGCAATTTCTGCTTCACAACGTCAGCGTCATCTTCTTTTGAAATCAAAGACTGTCTCAGCTTGCTCTCTGACACCCGAAAATCTTCTTCCAGTTCCAGGATCCTATTCTTTAATCTGCGAAGTCAGACACAAAAGAAAAGTCATGGTTATGGAAAAACAAATGTTTAAGCTCTACTATCTCATATAATCCAAATTAAGTGGCATTCTCAATAGGTTAGGTATAAAAAGTTGCATCACCTCAAACGTTCAAATAAATCAGTGTTACTTCTTTTGACTTGAATTTCAAAAGAGACCAACTGTACCGGACAGGTTTCTTTTTTTCAATTTTGAAGATGACCTTATGATAAGGTACAACGCCTGCTTCATTTCTCAACCAAAATTCAACTTGAAGTGACATACTCCTCAGGGTATGACACAGGCCGTTACGTTGTTTTTCTATCATTTCTTATTTTTGTATTTCATTTTGTGTGTGTGTGTGTGTGTGTGTGTGTGTGTGTGTGTGTGTGTGTGTGTGTGCCCGCGTGCGTCCGTTTGTGTGCCTTTAAATATCTACACACACACATAAAGCAAAAGCAAGAACAAAAACCCTCCCGAACTCCTCAATGCAAAGCCCTAAGAGACCAGCTGACAACATACTTGTCGATGATCATGTTCTTCTCCCGAATAATGTTGTCCGCAGCTCGCCGCACGGGCTCCCAGCGCGCCGGTGGCTCCTCCTGTACCATCATCTTGCCGAAGCTGGTGTTGACGCTGTGCTGGTGGTGCGGCGGGGGGCCAGGGCTCTCATAGAGGGCCTGCATGGACGAGGGAATACAAAGTCACGTTAATATTTTGTGTGTATGTGTGTATGTGTGAGAGTGTGTTGTGTACACACATGAAAACAAATTGAAAAATTATCAAGGGGGTACAGAAAGGTATACACATATTAATATTTTGTCAAACCTGTTCAAAGTGACTATCCTTTGTTGAGGAGAAGCAGTCACTTTAGACAGGTAGTTGTCTTGGAGAGAGCCATAATGATATAGAAAAAACATCAGTAAGTGGGGGAAAAAGGTGTTTCATATACAGGTGATGATCTTAGGTAGTTGGCCGTCAGAGCAGGTTCCGCAGTATTTTGATGTGAGGATATGTGCGTATCTGTGTCAATATCGTGTATGATTTTGTGAATGTAAAATTGTGTGAACCGGTACATTGCGCACAAGTCGGATACACTTATTGAAAATACTACATTCATTAAGTCAACTGGAATGGCCCAGTTCTGCAGCCAAGCATGTCCCCGAAAAAAATGAAGAGAAAAAAAGTACTCATTTTTAAAAAAAGACGTGGAGCCTATCCTAGTTCCAATATATACATACACAAAGCCAAAAGCAAACAATGGACCAGTAAAAAAAGCATTTTGGAATTCAGGTTCCCTGTAAATGTCTTGAGAGCATTATCAAGTAAGTGGGACAGAGCCAAGTGATTTAATTCAGCAGTAGGACCTAAAATTTTAACGTTTAACTCGACAGTGGGAATGAAAGATTAAAAGTTGAACTCAACAGTGCAACTGAAGGAGGGACTGTTCAACTCCAAAAGTGGGACTGAAAGGATAAAAAATTTTACCCGAGAACGGGGAGTGAGGGGGTTTACATCTAAATCCAGCATGGGACTGAGTGACCATAGCATGGGATTGAAGGAGTAAACTTGAGGTGTGCTCACAAAATGAAATACTTCCCACAATCTACAAAAGAAGATCGGCAGCCCAAAAATCGACAAATTTGTCAATTTTCAATTGATGCCCTTTTCTTCAAATTAACATAAGGTTAGGTATGTCTTCATTCTTTCATATTTTATAAATTGTACAAACTCTTCCAATCAACAGGATACATCTAATTCCATAGGGCTAGAATCCGAGATATCACTCATTTTGTCAGAACAGCCCACAAATGTTCATCTTGGAAAACAAAAAAGGAATGTGTGAATGTGAAGTCGAAACTTAAATCTCTCTCTCCCTCCTCACCTGTGTCTCCAGATGCTGATGAAGCAGCTCCTCCTGATGCTGCTGCTGCCAATGCCTCAGATCCTCCTGTGGGTTCTTGCCCGCCAGGTGACCTCCCCCTATTTCCTTCCACTGCTCCGCCTTGGGAGACACGCCAGGTTGGCCCCCATGAGATGACTGGTAGCCCCCGCCAACACCACTACCCCCACCCCCGAGGCTCTTGGCAAAGTTCTGCCGGGGTGATCGTTCGCTGTGTCCATCGCCAACAAACCCACTATCCCCTCTGGTCGGAGCTGAGTAATCGTGGTTAACGTTTCTCTGACTCGCCGATTTAATTAGCCGACCCTCGGGGTATGAAGAGTACTCCGGGGAGTCTCGAAGTAAAAATCCCTCTGTGTAGCTCTTCCTGTTGGGAGACACGTTCCTGCGTATGACTCGCCTCTCGACACCATTGGTGTCCAGGTACTTGGAGACTGGCTGCGAGAATCCCTGAGGCAAGAAGGACGTGTCTTCCTTAATGGAGGACATGCTGTGGCTGGCCGCCAGCAGGCCATAGCGCGACGGGTTGTACGCTGGCTGAGGCTGAGCCTCCCATGACGCCTTGCTGGTCGCCAGGGAGGTGCTGCTGCCCTGCTTGCCAGGCCAAGCTCCGAGTGCGTAGTTGGCATAATGCTGCTGCGGCATGGAACGGCTCGTCGATGCAGAAGAACTGGGCGGCCGCACGACAGGGGAAGGCGTCAGAGTCTCTACATCTTCATTCCAGTCTGGAGAGATGAATAGAAACCAGAAAAAAATTGCTCAGCAATTCAAAAGGATTAGAGGGGAGGGGGAGGGGGGAATACAAGAAAAAATTACACAAGAGAAACACATAAAAGAAACATTAAACTTTGCTTATGTCTTACCTACACAACTATTACTAACTAACCCTAATTACCATTTAGAAAAAGAGCATGTTTTATTGATACGTTTATACCTGTAAAAAAGACCACCCAATCCACAGTCTCTTTCCCGTGCATTCTAGCCCTCCCCTTTCCCTTTTTCCATTCGCAATGCAAACTGCATGACCATCACAAAATAAGCATACTAAATTGAAGGTAAACGAACAATTTTCAAAAAATTTATCATAAATATGAAAAAAACAAAACAAAAAGGATAATTTATACCACCAACCATGTAACCAGCCATGTAACCCAACCTTTCACTACCGAACACAAAGAATCCACCTCATCCTCCACATCTCCAGAATTCAACTACAGCTTCCCACCACATGGTGCCTGCAGCACAATCACCCCGACGAGACAGTCAATAACACCCTTAGCCACATGCCGGCACTCAATCATATTACCAGTTACCTCCGAGATCAGACAACAAGAGTAAACTCTACTGAACAGCACAGCGCATACGTAAACATTTGCGCACACCACCTCATTGTCTTGGCAGTCCAAAATGCAGAAGGCTAAATCTATATATAGATTCAAGTCCGCAAACAACACCCAAGGTAGATAGCTTCTGCCTATCTGAAACAAATCTATCATTGAAAGTTTGTCCATTCAAAGAAACCCCAGACAAGTGATTCTAAGAAGGACTATGAAAATACTAGCAAAGAAAGTATATCAAATATAAAAAACAACATCCCCTTCGTTTAAAATTCCACTTCCTCACTGAATTAAAAAACAACCTGGAAAGAGATATAAAGGTACACTGGTTCCCCTCACCCTTCCCCTCAAGAGTCTAAATCAGCGAGAGCCACTCTATTACTGATAATCCCCACCACACAAAGGAGGAAGTGATCAGCCATTAACACAGTGGCTATACCACTCCCCATTCGCTTCACAGGGTCACAAAAGACACCTCATGACAAGCCTTTAATCCCTGGCCAGTCAAGACCACATTCTTGGCATAATCCCCAAGTGCATGCAGACCTTTCCGCTAGAGGAGCAGCGCACAAATATTTGATTACACCACCTCCGCTAGCCCAGCTCAAAGGTGGAATATTTTCTCAGATGACTACAGACCAAATCATGCATGACCGTGCCCACACAGAACATGTGCCAGCGGTAACAACAAAGCGCGCGGGGGGGGGGCCGCCTCACAAGTAGGTACAAGACTAGTAGAACATTAAGTAAGTCACACACTGATTTCTACACATTAAATGTTGCACACCCCTATCAACACAATGAAGACAATCTATAATGTGGGCTGCTTAGACCCTGCCAGTCAGGGCCAGACCAAGCTGAATGAGATGCTGGATCTCAGCAGACAGAAGGAAATTTTAATTAACTTCCAAAAACAACAGGAATGGTAGAAATGTCTTCCGTAGGAAACAAGGATGCGCCTAACAATAACGCCGCAAACACCAGTACACTGGCTTCTTGCCACACTTATGCTATACTATATTCCCATCCACCCAATGGAGTCCACTTCACACCAGTCTCAAGCCATCCATTAATCATTACTGTCTGTCAAGACTTCAAACTTCTCCAAATGAGTGCCAGCATTCTATTCTATATATAAGAATTATGACTAAATGTCATTCCACTGGCAACAAATTCATTAGAACAGGAACATATTTGTTTTGAGTACATCATCACATGTTCCAGCCATGTAACTACAAAATAAAAGTACAGAAGTTTCAGGGAATCAGATCTTTCAGGTTGCAGAATAGATGTTTACTGGTAATATAGAAGATCACTTTCAGTTTCAGGCAACTGTGCCAAAATGGGAATAGACACGTCTGGTTCTCTAATGATGATAGTAACTACTGCCCACATATGAAGCCGTAAGTCTTTAACATTCACCATCCACATGCCCACACATGGTAGAAAGTATGGAGACAACACAGTGTTCAAGAACAAACAATATTTTTTAAAATCTTAATTACGAACAGTTATAAAACAGCCTTAGCTTCAACAAATGTTTCCTCATCGTGAGAAGGAGAGAGGAGTTAAGATAAGACAAAATAAGATGTGAAAAGATAACGGATAAGATAAGATAGGGTCAACTTTGTTGATCCACTAGGAAACATCTTAAAAACTCAGCATTGACACGTTTTTCAAATACAACAAGGAACATCATGAAAAATTAAGCAACCACTTAGTCTGACACTGTGACTGTGGCACTGAGGGCAGCAAAATGCCTCAAAGGAATGTGATTCCAAACAGAAAAGTGGACATACTTCTAAAGGAAAATTACCTATAGTTTGTATTCAGATTTTTTAAAAATTCGACACATACTAAAGTAAAGCACATCAGCACAATAACCAGTATCTAATGTTGAGAAGGAGCAAGGCGCAAGGCAGACAGACAGAAAACAATAATAATACACTCTCTCAGAAGGAACCAAATGCAGTTTGAGTTAGAAAACACCTTGGGTTTCTGCACACACCACATTTGCACCAAGGTATAGGTAAACAATAGCCCCATTAATACAAATTGATATAAAAACAACAACAACAAAAAAAGAATCTACCTCCAGGAAACACTGTTTTTCATTAGTTCTCGGTGAAACAAATTTCACAGGCCATGCTTTGATGGCAAAACAGTGAGAATCTATAAAGCAATCCTTGCAGCTTCCTCAAACACATTTTCGTCCACAGCTAAGAAGAAACGTAGTTCCCGCTCACATAGGGGGACAGTAATTAATAACCTATATAGATTGAAGCACCAGACACTGCTTGTTTCTCCCCTCATTTAATAGCAAACAGCAAGAACAACTAGAGACCATCAACAGATGGAGTTGACAGAGACAAATGTAATGTTCCTTCCAGAATATAGTAGTAGCAATAACCCTAATTCGAAGTTGTATTGTAATGAATTGCCCCCCCCCCCCTTCTCCGTGATCCCATTACATCAGCCACAGGTGTGATCAACAATTTTTCACATCAGTCTTCTCCATGACTGTGTCATGTGTGGGCATGTGTATTCAGTTTACATTGAATAAAATATATGAGGTTTTCTGCTTGTTTTGCAGAAAGCTAGTTGGTTCAGTGTATATATATATAATATATATATATATATATATATATTATATATACAGCAGTCTCCGCCTAAGATCCCGGTGCTCGGGAGCAAGGAAATGCGGGATCTTAGGCGAACCGGGATCTTAACCGATGAACCCAGGGAAGAATCTATGGAGACCCATGTTAAGGCTCACAATCGGTAAAACGGTCTGCCTCCACCCTACAATGAACTGGCGTGACCCCTTGGTGGGTTTATGACGTATGGTGAGCAAACAGTGGTTAACCTTGATGATCTATCACAGTGCATAGTGGCATGAGGCGTGCCATTTTCACTTATTATCCTATCATGAGTCTCAAGATCTACGCTTATCCAGTTGCCCCTCCTCTTTACCTGTCAAAAATGTATAGCTTTCCATCTCTGACCGAGTTCCCCCCCCCCTCCAAACCGCCTTTGTCGTTACACACCATTACGTTGTGAACGTACCAATTAGAATTCAGTCTGTCTCGCAAATTCGGGAGTAGAGACAACTGCTGCAATGGTCAAGGAAGAGTTCACGGTTCGATGTGATCCCGCCTGGAGCGAACGTGAAGGCCCTACCTACCCAGCAAGTGATGTAAGTTTAGGGGGCGAGCTCAGGTGTGAGTGCGATATGTGAGGAAAACAAACGTGTCGGTCAGTTCACACCCCGGTGTGATCCCGTCTGGGGCAAACATTGTATCGCTTCATCGAGTTTTACAACATGTATGCGATCACATTCACGTTAGTGGCTGATCTTTGACGCGTCGGACAGTTTATTGATCTCAACTTTTCACTCTTGGTTGATCGGCTGTCCCGCCCGGGTTTTTGTTTAGCAAATTATGATCTGAAATGCGGGATCTTAGCCGAATGTAGACCATCAGAGCGGGATCTTAGGGGTGACTTTTGTATAGTAAAAATTCTGTTTTCCTAAAACAACGGGATCTTAAGCGAACCGGGATCTTAAGCGAACCGGGATCGTAAGCGGTGGGATCTTAGGCGGAGACTACTGTATAAAACACTCATGCCGGCCTTTGGAGAAAGCTGGCACCGGAAAATGGTTTTGGTGGGGGTTTTTTCATCAGTAAGAGTAGTCAAAATGAAAATATTTCTGAAACATCCCAAGTAAAAATTATACAAATGTTATAGGAGATTACAAGCTTTCAATCCTTTCAGAAAATAAAATTTTAACTGATGGATGACATATTTCCATTACATTTTCCAATCTTCCAAGTACTAAAAGTAATTTTACTGCCAACCACCAGTTCTCTAATATAAACAGTATGATGAAACTGTGGTGGCCAACGAAGAACCCACTGAACTGAAATGCTAAACATGAAATTGTCTAAGCACTCCCAATTCTATAACAATGCCTTGAATCAGAATGTTATATTATATATATTGCTCTCAAATCTCTTCATAAGGAGAAGAAAAAAAGATTTAAAAATGAATGTTTTACACTTAAGCTTTGGAAAAGAATGATACAAGACAACTGTTCTCGGTTAAATAAGCCCCACAACTTATTAAATCAGTTAGTAGTTTCTTTCTCAACGCCAATTCAATTCCTGAAGAGAGATTACACTCCCATGAAAAAGTACCTCACTGTATCTGAGGAATGACACACATCAGTTCAGCCAACTCAGTTCTGTTGCACCAAGGCTTCGTAAAGAACAGACCCAGACATTATATCACTACAGATCTGCAGGAGACAGTACAGCACTTTTTCCACCTCATTCTATTGACATCTTTCTACTGGGCCTAGCACTATGATAAAGGACAAGAGAAGAAGAAGATGATGACTGGAATACAAACCTGGATGATGTTCTCCAGCTGTACCAGGCCCTCCTGACACTTGACTGGTCTGTCTAATCTTCTGATAGTCAGGCACATTGGTTAATTCTCCCGTGTCATCCATCTCGACGGGGCTGCCCTGACTCACTCAGCAGTCTGGCGTCTGCATTAACAGAACAAATTTGCATCAGCAGATTAATATTACATTCATCAGACGTTGGTTAAGACCCTAACTCATGGTAGATGTTACTTCAATTCTACCTCTGATAGCTTCTACTAGAAAGAAAAATTGCAACAGGAGATTGCAAGCTATCAGACAAGATATCCAAAGCACACGCCACAGCTGATGCAGCACCTCTCAAGACGGAAATAAATTTATAATAACAATAACGTCCAGAAGTATGTGTACGCATGTGAAGTTCTAATTCAATCTGATGCATTAGTATGGCCTTTGGGTTTGTTTTTTTCTTTACTACTCAAGCTACTCAAACAGTGCCCGTTCTTTAAAAAAACAACTCATACTGCACATGCAAGATGCTAAATTTTACATATTATGTAAAAAAAAAAAGACAAAATGAATTCTGCAGCCAAAATAAACACAAAACCCTGCACTTCAAAAGTAAAGTAAAACAACTGATAGAAAACACACCCATTAGCTCAAGGGAAATTCATCTTGGTAAAATTTCACAATACTTTGTTAGATTGTCGTGCATGGCACTAACTATTCTTAAGACATTTCAGATTTTCCTTTGAGAAAATATTGTTTATAACTGGTCGCATTTAAGCACAAGGGGGCTATCCCGAAAAATGCTGTTTTGAGAAAATCGAAGGTAAAGTTTTTGCCCCTTGTTCAGTTTCTTTAAAAGACAAGGAGAATTTTTTCTATAACTAAACAAATATAAAAACAGAGGAAACCAAACTTCTCCTACAGGTAGGGAAACGCCCACTTTTGGTGTAGGTCAAGATTTGTGGAAACCCCCGAAATCTGGGTTAGCCTGCTTGTCCTTAAAAGCGACCAATTAGACTATGAAGTTTCCTATCCCTGAAACCACCCGAGTATTTGTTTTTTAGCAAAGTAGACAAACACATCCAGGTGACAGTACTACCCAAGTCACTCACAAAAACTGATGGAGAACCTAACATAGGTGTATTCCCTCTAAAACAAAAAAAAAAGACTCTTTTCCTGGTGAAAACCAACAACGCACAATGGCAATCCTCCACAGATGAACATTTTCAAAACAGAACTGTAAGATTCTAAAGCACAACGATAGCATAGAAACAATATTATTCTAGAACCTAAAGAGGACTGATTTAAATTAATACACAATCATATATTATACAAATACTACAGTTCTACTTTCCTTAATTCTTAATAGGTCAGAGGCCAACTAAATTCCAGATTTAGACTGGTTGACGCCAAAGGGAGAATAAAGTTCACTACTGACCTCTACAGTGTCAGGGACAGGAAAGATGTGTGAAAAAATGTTGCCACTAAAGAAATTAGGTTTAGACATGCATGGGGGGTTTTGTGATTTGTAAAAAAAAAAAAATTTTTTTTTGGGGGGGAGGCTCAACAAGTTGTAAAAAATAGATGGGAACTACTTGTGAAGCATGATCTGCCTTTTACTTGAAAGTAGGCCTGGCATAGAACTACAGTTGAATCCACTTAAACTAAACACAATTTATCTGAAAACTGAAAACAATGGAAACCAAAATCCTGGCAAAACCAAAGAAAATCTGGCGGCCCGGCAGATTTTGGTTAAAGCTGACTCCACAACAGTTGGTCAAAACCATTTAAAACTACAGTCAAACCTGTATACAACAGAATCACAAAGGATCCAGAAACAAATTATGTCTTAGACAGGGGAATCTAGGGGGACATGGACAGGGGTTTCAGGTCCAGCAGGTGGGACCATGGGTCCGGTTGGAAAACAGTGGTCAAAACTTCACACCTCATTGTGCTACTCTCCCTAATAGTGGCATGCATGCATCAGTCTTACTTATCCATTGCTACCAGTGCTTAGATCTCAGAGGACCACTGTTTGGTCTTTTAAAATCAGAAACGTTTAAACACCCCCTTTGCTTCCACATAAAGCCCCGCCCATTGGTGTAATAAGCACAGTCAACCAATGCTACCCTCCCATGCATGTGACAATGATTGGAGGAACTCTTACTCTTTTTTCAGCTGGCCTTACGATCAGGGCAGCATCACTGGTCAAACTAATTCACACCCTCATTCTGAAGCATCACTCAACACTTTCACGAGCACTGGTGAGATTTCATACTCACACCACCCAGACATCTGCGCTGCTACGGGTTCACATGGGTGGGGTAACATCTACTTGAAATTGAAGCTCTACCTACTCCCCTTCCTCTCCTGGTAGCATGGCATAAAGGCTAGAGCTGATGGAACCAAATTTGATGGTTTTCTTTAAAAATCAGGGCTGAGTGGGCAAAGCATTTTCCATCTTAGACAGGGGGTAAAACACAAAGGAAGGAATTTCTTATTTCCCTTTCCACATTAAACAGGTTTCTGTTTCATAGAGATAATTATAATATGGGAATTTATCAATGGGGGAACTGAGAGGATTCCGTTTTATGACAGGTTTTCGTCATGCTTTTGGTTAAGGTAGATTCGACTGTAATTAGTTTAATAAAATATTTTAATTTGACTGGTGCATTTCGTGCTTGTAAGTTTGAGCAAAGGCAACCACCTAGCAGACACTTGACAGGGAATAGTGAAACTCTATTTTACCATAGGATCATATGAAAACAACCACAAAACAGTGAAAACATAAAAAGACGGGAATCCAATGGACATTTATGGACACAGCTTTAAGAACTGGACTTTGCAGGTGATCCCACTTTACTACTTTCACACATGTCACCGACAGATCAAGGTGAAAATGAGAGATCTTGTAAATTATATTATCTCTAAAAAGGTGTTTTTGTTTTAGTAGAGGTTTTACGGCGTTCGCAACTGCATAAGGTCCTATGAGCGCCAAAGGGTGGATGTCAACAGAGAAATCCTTACAGGGAATCAGGCTGACTCTGCTCACTTCTCCAGCTTCAACAGCACAAAGTCTGTTTCAACTATCAAGGCACCCTGGAAATAGCAGGTCACAAGAGTGTGACAAACATACAAGAGAAGTAGAGGCAAAATGACGATAGTACGGATTAGGAAAGAAAAGCAGCAGTTTCCTTTTGCAGTTCAGGCACAGATATGAGAATGAACATCAAAGATGAATCAGCCCATTTACAAACAATTCTACTGTGCATAGGAACATGGTTAATTGTTCCCCCTTTGGGAATGGCCTAAAGACACTTCAGTCAGTAGCACCGCTCCGGGGGATTAAATAGGTGCGTAATCCAGACAAGAAAAGGTGTGTGCACATCCAGACAAAAATGATGTAAGTCTGTAATTTACATGGATCAAGACCACCATCAATGAATTACATAACAACAAGAGGAAGTTGATCCCTTCACTTACTTCTTGTAAGCATTAGACAAGGTAGGAGGAAAAGAGATCGAGATGTAAAGACAAGAAGGCAAGGCAAGAGTAGCTTTCACAAACTGGAAGTCATGAATTACGGAAAAAATGTACCAAGACATGAATTTTCAACACTAGGGTCAAAACTGTACTTTGAACAGAAAACAAGAAAACTTACAAAAAGAACCTCTACAGCTCCCCCAAGTCCCCTGTGTGATACTTTTTTTTTGTTGAATTTTCTGAATTATTTTGCTTTCACTCTATCTCATGCTCAGTCAGGTATTGTGTATTACAGCACTTTCCCTCTCTATATTTTCATCTAATTTTAAAACAATTTCATTGACTTTGTATCCATCGCAAAATTAAAATTGAAATTTTTCAAGGTTTTTATTCAATAATTGCACAAAGCCTAATGGCATTGTAATTTCCACGTTTTAAACCAAACTGAAGGGTTTCACGGGGGCAAAGAGTCAAATAAGGTTTTTAATTTTTTTGACAATATAATTGATTTCTTGCTACAGTTTTAAAGGACATTTTATATGAAAAATTGAGTGATCTGCAGCAAAAAATATGACCATTTCATTCCCTGGTAAATTTTTACTTTCACTCCCACACACAGATCATGCACTGTTTTGGGGGCCAAACTCAGAACATTTTTTGCTGCAGATCACAAGAAGAATAAAGTTGTCCCAAATCAATTATTTTCAAGAAAATGTCAAACTTAGTTGCAAAACATCAAATATATATATATATGATTTTTATATTATAATAATTAAAAATGTAGATTGTTGCGCATTCTGTAGGTCCGCAAAATGCGTTATTTAGTCATACGTGTATGGCATTAACTTCTGCTTAGAAGTACAATGTCAACAATATGGAGCGAATATGGAGGCTCAATTGGTGATCATTAACACCTTTTATTTCATAGCAGAAAAACGAAACACTCGACACTTGGGTAAGATCTAAGATCCATTGCGTTTTCTACGGATCCTCAAAAAGCGTTGCGCAATCCATCAATCTAATACAGAAAATATGCTACGCTCGATGGATTGTTGCGCATTCTATGGATCCACAAAATGCGTTGTGGGATCCACCGATCGCGCAAAACAACAGAACGCACCACAGACCTTCTATCTAAAACTTAAAACTGTCCAAAATTTTGTAAATTTCAACTTTCACTCCCGTGCTTGGCTTTGGTGGTCAGTATTGTTTTGCACTTTCATTATTCATACCGTCTCATGATCATGCACGTATTGTACACAGCGCTTTTCTGAAATAATTCTTGTTCATTTTATTTTTATCCCCTTTATTTTTACGTCATGAAATATATAGATCATATATATTATATAATATATTCTTGACAAAATATTCTTCGCAAATTAATAGTTTTTGAAATAGTTGATGGTCTTTATTCAAATTATATTATACTAAGCCTAACTCTATGTAGTATTTAGTTACTAATTTCTTCACTTTGGACCAATTCAGGGGGGGGGGGGGGTGGCATGCACTCCTGTAACCCCCAGATTTTTATTTCAGGTCAAGGATGCGTGTACCCCTGACTGGGACCCCTTCCCCCTCCATTTTTCACACATGAGCAATTGCCAAAACGTGAGACTCTCTTGAGACTCAGTGGTGCAAAAAAATTTTTGTTACCAATTTGACTCTCTTTTCTGTCAGTCACAATTTGACATTTAGTGCTCATATTCCTAGAGTATCAGAGCATGGAGATGTACGGTTTTGGAGATATGGGTCTATTGGTTTGGCAACTACTGTATTTCTTGTATGTAACAGTGATGACAAAAACAGATAAGCAGCAAAGCAAATTATGGACTTTAAATTCCATTTGTTTAGTAAACAAAGACTTTGTACACTATGAACTCCACTCATAATGGTAATATGAATGACAAGCTTTGTAACAATGACGCAGTGCACAGAACATGCCATCATTGTTATGTACAAGAAAGGATACACATTGGACATTATCGTTGACAACACATCACAATAGTGAAAGGCTGTACAAATAGTTATCAAAGCCTCAGTACCAGAAAAACACATGTGTAAAACAATTTTTAAACTAATATGAGGCAAAAGCACAAAATCAATTGAGCTGACCTGTACATAACAGTGATGACAAACATGACTTGTACATACAATGAAGACACAATGTACAGGAAAAGACAAAAGTCTTGCCTCCAGAGAGAAAAGCGCACTCTAAGAATAAAAAAAAAAACCAGGAGAGGTTTCTTTTGCTTTGAAACAGATATCAGGTCATATCAAAGACAGTGGATGATCACAATTATGTTGCTAATTATGACAAACAGTACTCGTACATGTATAACAGTGATGACAAACATACTGGGAAAAGGTAAAATCATGCCTAAAAAGAACAAATTTGCACTAAGAGATACACAGATCAATAAAGGCGTATTTTGCTTCTTTCTAAATGAATCTTGCATGTATGAAATATATGTTGAAAACTTATTGATATTAGCAATGATGACAAATATTACTTGTTACATATAACAATGATGACACAATGACACAATGTATTAGAAAAAGACCAGGTATATCATACCAACAAAGAACAAATGTGTATTTTTGAGTTAGACAGATAAACAAGGACATGTTTGTTTATTTGTTTGAGTAAAGAGAGCACACATTACTTAAAAAATGTTTGCTCTTAGGACAAGAATGTAATTTCTAGTACGTCCGTCAGTCTTGTACTGCTGCATGACGACACCCCAAACGTCATCACTGAGCACAAAAGCTAAATCTATAACCACAGAAATGATCCATCTCTCGAAGTTTGTTCACACATCACACTCTTGTTCCAGGAATCCAGTGTAAACACCGCAATTTCACTAAAATATTCAACAGAGTAGCCTAAAAACACACAAAACAGCCCAGTACGTCACATTCAACGCAAAATTCTTGTGCGTCACCGGACACTGAAGGCAATGACTACTTTCGTTTTTCTGTTTCCCCCGTTGCTTCCGTTGTTCTGGGGAAGCGGGTAAGGGGAAGTCACTCAAGAAAACAATTATATCCGGGCACTGTTGATGACCCGTTCAAAACAAAAGTGGGCGAAATTCGGACTTCCGGCACGTCGCAAGTTGACGACAATCACGCCGAATGTTAAACAGCCGACCCAAATCGTACATCTAGGAACCCGATGTTCCTTTCGCGCATCGCAGCTTTTGAAGTATTGAATAAACGACGATAGGCAAAAAGATTTAACCAGCTACGGTGGTTCTACTGAAAAATTTATATAATGGTGTTTTCTGAAACACCTAGTCCGTGACGACACGACAGACGCACAAGTAATCCGAATTGTTCGTCTATTTGCAAACAAATAAACCGATTTCTTGGGCAAGTTAACCTTTCTCAATGACAAATAGCATAGGATCAAAGCACACGTAAAAAAAACCCACCCAAAAATACTAAATTTTGGACATTCTTGGAAGTTTGCATTGGTGTGCTCAAAATTACACTCAAGGAATCACTAAAAAACGAACATTTTTGGCACAAAATTTACAAACTCAAGATTGTAAAGCTGACATGGGGTCTGAAACTGCTAATGCAGGTTCTACATCCTATATTTGACGTGTGTACAAGTTTTGGAGGAATAAATACTAATGCATCACATTTTATGCACACTAATGTGAGATGTGTGTGTTTTTCCCCACGTTTTGGCAATGGCTCAAATATGATCTTATTCTTGCTCACTTCACCCCTTACCCTTTTGAATTGCTTCTTTTTTTCACACCCTCCCAACCCTTCTTACACAGCTCTGTCCTTCTTCCATTCTCCCTTGTTTCTTTGAACGACTTTTATATTAAATTGTGAAGTGTAGCCTGGTCCGCACACGGGAAGAGAGGACTGAAGTGTCTGAAGTAGCATTCTGCGTGCTGAGCAAGCGAGGCCTTGTCGACAGCGGCAGTTTTGCTGTGCCTGCCTTCACCCTCTGTTGCATTTGGACCACTGTGCTGCATCTTTAGGCGTTTTTCAGATGAATATTCCTGTGCTGTTTCCTCATTCACTTTGAACTTTGAGCGACAGTTGTGTATTAGTTGTGCCTCTCTTTGTCAATGGTGGATGATTCAGGACGCCGTGAATATAGCCTGCAAACTACTTTCACGGCGGCATGACATGAATGTAGTCACTGCATTTTTCTATAGTAGAATTAGAAGTTGGTGACAAAAGTAAAGAAGGACAGATTTAAGTATGGAAGGACTTCTGTAACGAGCGACCACCCCAACAAACACAATTTATTAAGGAAGAGACCTCTGTCACCTAACCCGCCTAACCCATGCCATAGATCTAACCCAACCCCTAGCCCTCTATTCTATCTACTCTGTCTCACAGTGGTCACTCAGTCACTCGTTACGGAAGTCCTCCCTTTTAAGTTTGATAAGAAGTAGAAGTAGGGTAGGTTAGTACTAACTACACTACAGGTCTACAGCAGAGCCAGTCCTGTGTGTCAGAGTGAACTGACTGAGACTGAGATCAAAACTTACGTAGGGAAGTCTGACATTCTTGCTGATCGGATTCTTCAATCTTACCAATGATAGAATCAAAATATCTATCTAGATTTTTAGACTCTAGATCTAGATCTAGAATCTAAATCTAGAATCTAGATCTATATCTAGATATCTAGATCTAGATCTAGTCTAGATCTAGAAGATCTTGATCGAAGGTTAGCCTACTTTTGATTGTTTTGGTTGGAGTTCGTAGTCGCAGTTGGACTATACTATTCTTCTAGACTAGCAATCTACTCAACTTATACTTACACACAACTTCTGGAATAACAAGTCGAGAGATCTACTTACAGTTAAATATTACTGATCGCCTCCCGCGTCATCCCGAAAGAAAAGAAATTGCCATTACATCATAACAAGATATATTCTTTGTAAACAGTCCTTTGTACTTCTTGTACACTCGAAGACTTTCTCTGTCCGTTGTCTTTGATGCTGTTGGCATTGGCTTACACATGCCTGGCATCAAAGACATGCAGAAACGCAGATTAATGCCAGGGAATAGGTGAGCGAGAAGACTTGTCAGACATTGAGGAATGTCAAAGGATTTTGTACTTAAAAATCTTTAACCAGTTTTCATTCAAAAAGAAAAATGAGAAGAGCTGTTAACTAAATGTTTCATTCAGATCGTTGAAAAATGTACAAAATTCTTGAAAATACAGCTACACAATAATATCAGCACATTGCTTTATCAACTTATCAAGTGCTGAAATTCAAATTGGCAAACAGTAACATTTGCCAGGAGTTTCTACGGGGAAAGTTTCGAGACCAACTTTAGGACAACTTTTACAATGCCAAAAATGTATCGACTAAAAATCACAAGATACTGCGCAAAAAGTTAAATTACTGACGTTTAATAGATAAACATCAACAATTGCGAGAGATTGTTTTTGTCTACCAGTAAACATAGACCAGAAACTGTCCCTTTGCTCCAGAACAATGGCTCCCCAAATCCATGGCCCTTTTCCCCTCTTGGCCTTACTGAAACTCGGTCAGTTGGTCAATCTGTCTGTTCATCTGCTCCAAGGACCTTACCTCCGAGGTCTGGTCACTTCTCTCTCTCTCTCTCTCTCTCT